TGAGGGACATACCTGCAAATCCGGGGGGAAATAGGCCCAGTACTAACTCGAATTCCACAGCTACCCTAACTGCGTATAGCAGGCCCAGGCTACCCTAGGACAAACACGCCCTAAGTGGCCTATACTGATAGACGGTCCTATAGCCTATAGCCGGGTCCGGTAGAGGCCGAGAGGCCGAAACAGCAACGGTACCGGTCGGTCAGTCAGTCTGGTCTAGGTCTAGTGTAGTCTATAGATAGGTTAGGCCCATCGGTTCAGGACTTTTGGCAGTTCATTTCTCGCGAAGCAGCGTTGGAGAAGCCAAGCAAGTTGGTGGCGGTATCTGTCTACAGGAGGCATCCTGAGACCCGCCATTAACAACAGCCATAGCCGGCCCAGTCTGAGTCTGCCATAGCTGGGGCATCCTCAACGCATCTGCCCCAGGGGCATCTGCGTATGGCCATGCTACATCGAGGCTCTACAGTGTGTACTCGTGGGTGGTGGCAGCCATAGCTGCCTGTTCCTTCGTCAGGGTTGTCCATCGGCACTGGAGACTTCATCGCAGGACCTGTTCTTCACCAGGGTGGTTGGCGCTGGCCTCTGGGAGGCTGTTCTGATGTGGCGCTACTAACTGGGTGTAGGATAGAGAGTGGGGTGTGAGTTCTGAGAGTGGCGAGATACTGGAACAAACTCTGTTACGATAATCGTTTGAGTGGTTCATCATCAGTGTGAATTCCAATTGTGATCTTCGCAGGTTCTTCCTTGTGATTGGTTGTTGGGAGTTAAGTCAGAGAGTCAGAATACACTGTGTGTCTTCTTCCCATCTGTGCATGATTGTCTTCCGCTGCTTATTCTCACCTGTGTGCAGTTTGGACTTTGTCTCCTCTCTCCCCTTCTCTTGTGCATGTATGGCATGTGTGAGATTGTATGTGTGTGAGTGGCGATAAAATTCGTCATCCTGAGACCTCGCCGTTGATAGCAACCATAGCCGGCCTAGTCTGAGTCTGCCATAGCTGGGGCATCCTCAACGCATCTACCCTTGGGGTATCTGCGTCTGGCAGGGCTATATCGAGGCTCTACACTGTGTACTCGTGGGTGGTGGCAGTCATAGCTGCCTGTTCCTTCGTCAGAGTTGTCCATTGGCACTGAAGACTTCAATGCAGGACCTGTTCTTCATCAGGGTGGTTGGCGCTGGCCTCTGGGAGGCTGTTCTGATGTGGCGCTACTAAYTGGGTGTAGGAGAGAGAGTGGGGTGTGAGTTCTGAGAGTGGCAAGATACTGGAACAAACTCTGTTACGATAATTGTTTGAGTGGTTCATCATCAGTGTGAATTCCAATTGTGATCTTCGCAGGTTCTTTCTTGTGATTGGTTGTTGGGAGTTGTGTCAGAGAGTGAGAAACACTGTGTGTCTTCTCGCCATTTGTGCATGATTGTCTTCCGCTGCTTATCTTCACCTGTGTGCAGTTTGGACTCTGTCTCCTCTCTCCCCTTCTCTTATGCATGTATGGGCATGTGTGAGATTGTCTGTGTGTGGGTGGCGATAAAATTCGTCAGACAACCAAGTTCATAACAGATGCCTGTACCTCTCTCATTCTTTTTCTTTTTGTTTCTTATGAATACGTACAGTGCCCCAAGGGGCCTCTCGCCACTACTCACCACATGCACAAAAGGCATACCATATGGCGTTGTATGGTTTCATGTTTTAGCAGAAGATTCATCCTAATGTTATACAATTGGTGAGTGGTGGAGCTGGGCCCGGAGAATCATGCGGAGACGAATACGGTCTAGCTGAATTGGTGACCTATAATTCCCGAGCTACAGACTTGAACTCGCACCCACAGCATATATTGGTGGTCTTCTCCCACCTCTCCCATACATGATGCGGCCATCCTGCCTCCTGAAAGCGACGGTCCTCAACGTGTCCACAATGTCCAAGTACATTGTCGGAGTCATTTGAGTTACCTGCAGGGGGCCCTGAATTGACGTAAAGGGGGACTTTTGCTCTCTCTCTCTCTCTCTCTCTCTCTCTCTCTCTCTCTCTCTCTCTCTCTCTCTCTTTTGCACACCTGGCACACCGCCTACAGCATGCGCATTGTGCACTGCGCACAGTGCACGCACAGCACACCACCCCGTTCCGCACTGATGCACCGCAACTAAGCTTTCTATATAAATATCATGGTTGTCAACCGGACGTCCGGATCAGGATCCAGACGGTCCGGTCTGGATGACCGGACCCGATGTCTGGTTTGGGGGCCCAGTTGGGCCCCATTTCTCCAAAAAAAAAAAAAAAAAAAAGGGGTCCCCAGGCGATTTTCCAGTATGGTGGACCGTTCGGCCATCCGGACCGGCCCTGAAGGGCGTGTACTTGCAATCTTGGGTAAGCTTCAACGGGCCGAAGAGAACTGGTTGTGTGTGTGTGTGTGTGTGTGTGTGCGTATGTGTGTGTGTATGTGTGTGTATGTGTGTGTATGTGTGTGTGTGCGTGTGTGTGTGTGTGTGACACTATGTGTGTATGTGAGTGTGTTCAAGATAAGTCGAATAATACAACCACAACTAGCGTTTTTTTTTTGTTTTTTTTTAATCCGAACATCCGGACCATCCGGGTACGTATCTCCGGTTGTCCGGATCGGTGTCTGGATCGGTGTCCGGATCGGTGTCCAGAACAGTGTCCGGATTACCAGACAAAGGTCCAAGCCCGGTGTCCGGTGTCTGGATGTCCGGGTCCGGGGCAACCATGATAAATATATTATAAATTCTAGTATTGAACAAAGTTAGTCAGATAATGTGGCTTCGGTTTGGTCTGACTATAGCTTATCACAAAAAGGAAGAAAGTACTTAATTAAGAATATAATGAGTGTAAACCTAAGGCGGACCGAGCAATGTGGCTTCGGTTTGGCTCAGCCTTAGTCTTCAAAAGATTAAAGGTTCAAAAATATATTATAACTTGGATATTAAACACTTGGCAGGACTAGACAATGTGGCTTCGGTTTGGTCTAGTTAAGTGCTTAATGAAGAGAGAAGTAATTGTGCTATTTGTTTGTGTATACAAAGGCAAGGGTTGAGCAATGTGGCTTCGGTTTGACTTCACCTTCTTATGTCACATGTAACTAAAGGTATTGGGCTTTATCCAGCCGAGAGACAATGAACTATTTATGAGAAGAATAACTTTGGGTCTTAGTAAGAGTACTTACTCATTGTGGTATGGACTTGCAGTGAGCTCTACTTTGTTCCGAGTCCTAGCTTTGACAGGTAGTTGTTTTAGATGTTCGTCACGTGCTGGAACTATAAGAGTTTGTTGAATTTGTGTATTTTTTAATTTATTTCTCATACTTGGCTTTATATAAATTTTGGAAAGACACTTTCGCTAAGGGAAGTGCTGCCCAAATTTATGCAAAACCAAGGAGTTAGTCAAATTGTACAAAATTGAAGTTTTATCTTAAGTTCATATCCGACTTAGTATAAATCTAGGAGGCATACTTCTCTGAAGGAGATGCAACCCAAATTTTTACCAATTTAGAGAGTCGAACAAAATTTTACTCTGTAAAATCAAATATCGCCTTTAGATTTCATATTCAGTCTTCTATAAATTATGTAAAGGTATTTTTCCTACGGGAACTGCTGCTGAAATTTCCTGAAATCTAGAGTTATAATATTTTAGAACTTTGAAGGTTTGGCAATTTGCCCTTGCTTAGGAGAGATACTGGCGAAATTCCTAACATTTTCAAACAGACATGAGAGGTAAGGTAGGAAGGTAGGAGTATTTCATAATCACTTAAGCATAGCTTGGGTACTAGCTTGTGCTATGTTGCAGTTCATTTTCATTCAGATTCTCTCGTGGCTTGACTAGCAGCAAGCTGATCCTAAGAGGATCATCTTCTGTTATCTTTTGATAACAGATCGGTTTTCGACTTAACTCTAACTCATTCTTGCTACTCAACCTAAGGCCTTAACCACTGTGGGTTGAATTCTTTCTTTGGGTTTTTACCTCGATGTTTAATAAATGGTGATTTAAAAAGGGACTAAGTGTGTTCTTTTCGAAGGATGGACAAAGGCTTGGGCTTGTGTGGATAAGACAAGGGGTGTGAGTGTAAAGAGTGGTTGAAGTTGACCCCGTGTAGTGTGTGGTATATCGATGATTGAATCCTTGGTGTGATTGCGGGTATGTTTTTGTGAGTTGAAGTCCAGATTTGACTTTTCCTTGGATCATATATATATTTTGAAGGAAATCACATGGTGATTGTGAGAGAGATCGCCTCGTGTTTTATAACCTCGTTATATTTGTATTTTTGGGTATACGTACGGTCTACTTTGATCGTACATAAGAATTGAGTAGATTTGTGTCGAAAGAAAAGGGAGGTTCCCTTAACTTCTACTTTTTAGATTTTTATAGTTGGATGTTGAGGACCCTGGGGGCTGTCAAAGTCAAACCCCTTGACCTGTTTCCAGGCCTCTGAAGATGGAGCCACACTTTCAGGATCAGAGGCGTTTGGCCGCCACCAAGGGGTGAAACCCGCCTACCACTCCTCTCCGCAGTGTGCAAAAGAGGGTAGGTCCCGCAATCGCACTTGTGAGTCTCTGGCGTTAAAGCACTAATACTTCCGCCAATGTTGGGAAATTAGGGAAAAGTGGACGTTTTCCCAAACTCATGAAAACTTGGAGGTCGGGCCCGACGACGGCTGCCATTGATAAATCTGATCGGCGGCCGTCGTTTCGTTTTTGGCCTCCGAAAAGGTCGGAGGCCCACTATTTTCCCACGCGGCAAAGGTACTAGTGGTTTAAGAGATTAACCCTTCAGGACGTGTGTCGATCTACACTTGAGTGTTGAATGCGGCCCTCAAAATTATTGAGGACCTTGTGGTTGTGGGTACTACATAGTACTTCATCATCTCGACCGCTTGCGTATGCATGCATGGTTGGTTGATATGATAAAATTCATGCCACCGCGATATTTATTCAAGGGTATCGCGCAGGACACCCACCTAATTCTTTTGTCGAAAACTATGAGTCAAATGTGGAAAAAGGGACTTGGCACGATTTACGTACGAAATTTAATTTTATTTTCGTAAGATGTATCGCATGGTTAGATTTGACCGTCCTAGTCGACCGGCGTAGGATCGCGTTTGAGAGATCAGCGCCTCAGGCGACGATTTGCGCATAGACCCGATTCGGGCGTTGACCGCGCATACCCCGTATGCTACACCGAACGAGAAAAGCCCTCGGTCAGACCACCTCTGCAATTCCATACAAAAAACCTTCGCATGTGGTTCCGTAGCTCGGCGGGGATACATCCATCTAAGGGATGGTGACATCTTCCACAAGTGGAGGAAAGTTATTCCTCGCGTGACCCTATCCTGTCCTAGGGGTTCACGAGAGGTATGGTTGGCGCACTCGGCCGGAGTGGCAACGCTCTACGCGACAAGTCGTGCAAAATTGTGCGTGTCGCGGCCGGGAGGATCCTCCTTGCGGGACTGATGCGCTCGACAACGCATGCTTTTACTAGCCTTCCACACCACCCTCACCTCATTTCTACGCCTGAGTTCTTTTGCAAAACCTTTCAAGGGAGGTCTTCACATCTGGAATAAACTTCAGCATCGTGAGAAAAGCCCCTCCCTCTCCACCAATGGTTGGTTCATTTCAAAAATATTTTTCCTCGGGTATGCATGCTCATAGTCGCCTCGTACAATAGTCTTTCCTCCTCTATACGCCTGTGTTCCCTACATTTTAGTTGCAGAAATTTTCCAGGGAGGACTACATCTCTGAACTTCAATATCTCGAGAAAAAGGGGTTGCTTTGAATAAAAAGAGTCTGCCTTCAAAAAAGCCAAAAGGATGCTGCCCACTTTTCACTGTCCAATTCCTCTCCCTCCTGTCGTTGTGGAGCGGTCTGTTGGAGCATGCCCTCTGATATGCTGGTTGTTGCAGTCAGCCTTCCTTGACACCTTAGGTCCGCCAGTCATTCTCGCTCTGACATGAGCTCCCACCTCTGTGAAATGCCCCCTCATCATGTCATGAAATGGTTACACTAGGCAAAACTACCGGAAAACTTCACCCATTAGAAAATGATAGAGATTTTGTCATATGAGGCCTAGAAAGCCCCCTAACCGGCTGAGGAGCTGTTTTTTGCTTCTTCTTCTTAGTCTTCTTCTTCTTCGTTGTCTTCCTCTTCTTCTTCTTTTTCTTCTTCCTCCTCATCCTCCTCCTCCTCGCCTTCCTAACAATGTTGTCTCACGTGATTTGGCAAACCATGTGCATCAGCACCATGTCCAAGCTCCAATTGACTGTCTTGGCACTGCAGTAGCTGCTTACCTGAGCACATGTCCAATCACTGAAGTCACCTTGAAGGACACAGCCACCCCACGAAATTGCCCAGAAAACTCGTGCACCTCTAGATTGCTCCGCCGTGATGACATCTGCAAGACCACAGCAAGGCAGAGTGAATCCAAGGGACGCACAAAGTTCACAGACAATCTATCTCTTCCAGTCCATGGAGTACCAGTCACAGTCTGTAAAAACCTTTCACAGTCGGTGAAAGTTACGATGAACCACAATCAGTCACAGTCAGTCACAACCAGCCACAGTCAGTCACAGTCACAATCAGCTGTAGTAATTCAAAGTTATAACCAGCCACGGTCCTTCAGTTACAGTCAGCAGCAGGTCAATCACATTTACAGCCAGCAACAGTCAGTTACAATCAATCAATTACAGTCAGTCAGTTACATTCAGTCAATTACAGTCAGTCAGTTACGGTCAATCAGTCAGACTCAGTCACAGTCGGCCAGAGTCGGCTACAGCCAAGTTACATTTACAGTCAGCGACAGTCGTTCACAGTTACAATGAGCCGCAGTGAGCCCTAGCCAGTCATCATCGGAGTCGATCAGCTGGTGAGAGATGCACGCACTCATCCACAGTCAATAACAACCAGCGACAGTTCATAATAGCCAGTCACAATCGCTAGCCCAGCCATGTTCAGTCGCAATCCTTTACAGCCATTGCCAAATCACAGACACTAACTGACATCGACACAAGATTGGGTGAACGGCTTATCAAGCAGGTATTCCTCAAATCAACCATCAACCAACCAATTATATCCACCATCTTCTGTGAAACTATAATATGCCCAGATGCCCCCTGTAAACAATGATTGCATCTCTCCGTGACATTCAAACACGAGAACTATAGAGAAGAGCAGACAGAAATACGACTGGAGGATGACTTAGGGCTCATAGATTCTTTTAGCCTAGTAGTGAGGTGGTATCACTTCAGTTTTCATTTGTGTGATCTTGCTCAGAAAGCGGAAACAAGTATCGATATTTTTACAAAAAAGAAAAAAAAAAAAAGACTGGTGGAGGAAACGGCATGCAGGTTGACAAGGAACAGGGCAGGGAAGGAAGGTTCAAGGTCAGAGGAAGAAAATTTGCAAAATGGAACAGAGGGCGACCGGCAGGGTTGTCAGGCAGGGAGCCCCATACGGAAGGGTGAAGGGCTGGATCCCCACACTCCCATGCGGGGGTGGAGGACCCCTGTGCAGGGGCAAGGGTCGGGCCAGAGGGGCAGGGGTCCCAGCTTCACTTCTGAAACGGTATTCACCACTTCGCAGTAGCTGATGCAGATTCCAGGGCTCGATCCCTAGTTCCCCGCCTTACCTGTGTACAGTAACTGTGTCAACCCGTAGATTTGAACCTGCGACCTGTAGGACCGCCAGTGGTAGGTAAGACCTCGTAGGTTATRGGGTAGAAGGGAGTCGAACTGTAGACCTGTCGGGTAGGAGTCTAGGCAGTCTAGAAGTCTTAGCTGTAGACTGTCCGAAGSGTCAAAGTCGTAGCTGCTACTTACCTGAAAGGGCAGAGTCGTAGCTGCTACAGTCCCGAAAGGCCAAAGTAGAGGTTTCTAGAAGTGGCCTTTCGGAGCCAGCCCCTGTTTCGRTAGAGGCAAGTGGTCAASTGGWGTAGGTCCACCACGCTGAGTCAACAGTCCCAGTTCAGTCAGTCCSGTCCTGTCCAGCAAGTACCGTCTGGGACTGTGTGCACCAGKGGGCCAGGGCTACAGGGCAGACCAACGCATCCCAGAAGTATAAATCAAGAGGTCGCGCCCAGCCATTCATTCATTCCTGCGGAAGCTATGCGGAAGCGTTGCCTCAGCTGCTTGTGCGAGGAGGTGTGCAGTGTGCCCGAAGTCGAAGTGGGCAGAGAAGTGTAGTATAGCTATAGGCTAGTGGCAGCCAGCACTGCCATAGCTATAGTAGCGTGTGTGTGTGTGCGTGATGTGAGTGTGCAGAGTGTTGAGTGTGGGATATCCAGGGTGATCCAGCGTGTGAACAGTGGATGTTGGGCGCTCAGTCGCCATAGCCAGTGGAAGTGAACTTACCTGGAAGCCATATCTCTGTGTACCGTGTGGGCGCATGTCGCCAGTTTGTTATGCTGCTGTTCGCGTGCATGAAAAGTGTGAAAGAGTCGAGTCTGATTGCACTGGTATCGGAGCTGGTACCCGCTGTCCCATGCGCGCCGTTGTGTGCAGGGTTGAGGCGCCATAGCAGAGGTGGCCGCTGAAGGTGACCGTCCGCCATAGCGGACCCAAGGAGGAAGAAGCCGCCGCGCACCTGCAAGGAGACCACGACGAGAGAGAGAGAGAGAGAGAGAGAGAGAGAGAGAGAGAGAGAGAGAGAGAGAGAGAGAGAGAGAGAGA